CTGTTCTTGAAGAATGATTTCAATTCTCAGTCTCTATCATATGTTCATCATTACATGGGTCAGGATTGAATTCAGACATATTGATTTCATCAGTATAAAATTCAGTAGTTCATTGACTGTAAGGACAAATATTCCACAATATGAAAATGACTAGATTTGGAAATATTTAGGCCAAGGGTTTTGTTTGCTTGTTTTTAATGATTCTTCAAGGCCATCCTTGTTACCTAGATGATGCTGATTGCTGAAACCTGAGCAATAATTTAGAGCTTTAAGGTAGTCTTCCTGGGTGATTCATGAGACTGGCATCCTAGTTGCAGATCCTGGGATAGTTCTGCTGGAGATGCCACAAGTGTGCTGTTGACAGGCAGGGATTGTGTCACATCCAGTTCCCAAATGGAGAGGTTCTGTTCATCCCATGTGGTTTCAAATGCAAGCTGATCTGCTGGCTTGAGAGGAAAAAAAAAGATTTTACAAAATGGACCTGTGGCTTTAGATTATGCACTCAAAGGAAAAAGGAGGAATAATTCACCAGGGTGCATTCCTAGAGCGGTGTTCCCAGTTTGAGTGTCTATGGAAGTATTTCTTCTTCATGTGAAGAGCTTTGTCCACCTGGTGGTCATCTTAATGAAACTCTCCTGAGTTGCTTTTTGAGCTACTGGAGCCGTGTTCAGGCAAGTCTCTGATAGCATCAGCATCCACTGTGCCCCTCCTTTCTGGAACAGTAAGGAAACACTTCTGGTGTATGGATCAAAAAGAAACCATTTGGCTAACAGCATGTGGAAAACCAATTTGTTTCACAGATTTTCTGTGTGAATATTTTCACTGCAATATTTACCTAGTCTTTAAATATTCTCTCTCCCTCTTCTATTGTCTATTCAGCATTTCATCAAATTAACCTCTGTCTCTGAACTAATCATGATTGGCAGCTATTGAACAAATGCACCACTTTTGGTGACTTCTCTGTGAAAATTTATACATGGTAAAAGCAATGTGTTACTTTTCCCCTTAAAAATACTCAATCTTTTTGGTTTCAGGTTGCATGCTCTTGGATACCAAACTTTTCAAAGACTTTTTCTAATTCTGAACAAATGTCCATGTAAAAGGCAAATGCCTTTAATTTACTGCTAGCCTCATTCTGGGATCTTGACAAGATTGCATGGGGCTACCTCAAGTTAATGCTCCAAGGAAGTTAACAGTCCTATTGGTTTATACGAGTCATTAAGCAGCTTACATAGGGTGAGAAGAAAGTTGAGGACAAACAGATTTAAACTCACCATCTCTTAAAACCTTTTTACTTGCTAAAGATGAAATTTGCCTTTCATCTCTCAGTATTTGCTTTCTGCCATATTGATTTCTCAAATCTAAAGGTCTGGGTGAGTAAAGATATGGCATTTCTTTTTCTGATTGATAATTTTTCCTTTTAGATTAAACAGCCATATTATCTAGGTTTTACTACTCTAAGAGTCCTTTTAAAAACTTGTAACAACTAATGGTCAACATAATTTTGAAGATTTCTCCAATGTTTGTAATTAGTACCAGGAGTTACTTATCCATAATTCTGAAATCTAGAAAGATCTGAAAAAATAGAAGATTTTTTTCATTATGTTTGGCACAAATTAATGTGGTGATAGAACCTGACCTGAAGGATGCAAGTTATATATAGTTTGCAGTAATCTTATGCAGAAATATTAACATGTTTGATTAAGGGTGCTGTGCCAGACTCTGCTAGTGGTGTTACAAAATATGGCATAGATAGCTTCCTAAAATATGAAAAATTATGAATCCCAAAATATATCTGGCTGCAAATATGGATTAAGGAATTTAAGACCTGAACTAAACTGTGAGGGTAAAGATTCTTCACTTACTTGATAATTTTCAGCCAAAGTCACTGGGCCAAGGGAAATGACAAAACTGTGGATGCAATTTTACAGGGACAATAGCTGCAATGATCTGTCTTGCTCCCCACTTCAACATAAAGCAGATTTCTTGCTCACTTTTGAGTGTCCATTCTGAACACCACGCTCCTCCAGCCAGGACAATAAATGAGGCTTGACCCAATTACCAACATATTGCTTTATTTCTTGGTGGTAGTAAATTAAGGCTTTCTAGATTCATACAGCACGCAGTGATTTGAACATTAGACTTAAAAAAACAATGAGCATTCAATTTAGCAGAGGCAGGAAGGAAGCAATGTTTTAAAACAGATAAATTTCTTAGTGAGGCCTTTTGTTTGGTCTCTAAATATCTGCTGAGCTATTTCCCCAGTAACCTCTGTCACAGATTCACACCCCAAGGGGGAGCAGAATGAAAAAGAATATTGGGGAAAAAGGGAGAAACTGGGAAAGACAGGGTATGCTGGGCAATCAGTATGAAAGTTGGCTTTGTCTCACGTTTGGAAGTCAGTTTAGATGATGAGGTCAGGTGGTGGTGATTAAAATATTTGTATTAGGACTCCCCTTCTCTGGTTCAGGGAACCATTTTGGATTTCCCTTCTCATTCTGGGAGTATGAAAACAGCTCACTTGGAAGACCCTAGTGTCAAGGATTAGGAACAATCCTTTGTGACTCTCAAATTCTGAAACTTTAGATAAGTTCACAAGTCACAGAGCAGGGGAATGCTACCTTCAACCTCTTTTATGGTTCTAAACTCTATGGCTATCACTAGATACTATCCCCAGCCAAACAATTCATTTCTCCCCTTGGCCTTGATTGCACATCTAAGTTGTTGACAATGTTGACTAGAGAGACCATATTTCATATTATGCATGAAAGAAACCTCTTGGGCAGACACCACCTCACTCTATCTCCTTCCCAACGCAAGACAAAGGAATGCAGGGAGCCTACAGTGGGAGTGCAGTTGTCGAGCAGTGTGTAAGCCTCATCCAAAACAAAATCCACGTGCTTGCTTGGAGATGCAGAGGTTCTGGGTTTGGATGGTGGACACTTCAAGAAAGAAAGGATGAATGGTTTGAACAGTTATGGAGGAGGGGTGTGGCCAGAGAATAATTTGGGAAAAGTTATGTGTTTATTAACAAAAGGCAATGTAATTTCATAAACGTAAGCAATGGAATTCCTTCTGGCATCCTGATTTTACATGAATGAGGCTAGCAAATGGATTTCTATTCAAATAGGACCATTTAAAATTTATACTTGGCAATGATTTTAATGTTCTATTCCAAGGGCCTGGCTGGTGAACCAGTGCCAAAGCCTTATCAATGTGTTCTCTCTTCCATTTGTCTGGCATTTTCGAGTGAACAGTATTTGAACACCTGGAAGCCTGCCCTGCATTCTTCGACAAAGAACATGTAGACAGCCATAGGGGAAGGCACACAAGGTGGCAATCTGCACAATTAAACACTATGACTTAACCCCAACAGGCTTCATGTGATGAAGTCTGGATGCACAAAGAAATAAATAAATGAGAAAAGGAGAAATGTGATCTGAATGACAATGAACCGAGGTGTCTGTTCCTGCCGCCTGCAGGGCAGATGTGCCTGATGCAGGCCACGTGTGCACTGCAGGCCATGTGCTCTTTTGGGTCTTGCTTGTTAGTTAAAAATTGTGTCTTTCCTCCATTTGAAAAACTCTCCATCTGAAAGATCAACTTGACTGGGGGATGTGGGCTTTGCTGTGGTTAGGAATTTCTTGATGGTGTGAAGTGGGCTGATCTAGCAGCGTGGGAGAAGATGCCCCAGAGACTCACCTATCGAAACAAACAGGGATGGGAGTGATCCTCAGACTGGAGTGAAGCACATAGAGGACCCTGGTGTTGGCACTTCGGAATCTCCTAAAGGCATCTATAGAATGGATACTCTTGGAAAAGGTAGTAGATGCCTCGTGTGCTCTATGCCAAGGTACTTCTGTTTATTGACATTTCAGTTCCCTCAGTTCTAAAATGGGCATGAAAACTAATCCTTGAGCTAGGTGGCCTCTGATTTAGTGCTGGAAGATGATGCCCAGAGCGGTCAAATGCTTTGCTCAAGATCACAGAGCTAGTTGGTGGTCCAAGTTGGTGGCAAACCTGGGTCTCCTCCTCCACCACGCTGCTTGCTGCAAGACATTCTTTAAAAAGACCTGGAAGTACATTGCATGGACCAGGTTCTGCGAAATGGATTTAACAAGAATTTGCTTGGGCGTGGGATCGAAGGGTGTGGCTTAGGCTAATCAAGCAGTTTAAGGAGGAGGGGTGTGGAGAGCATTATTATTCCCATTTGTTGCTGCTTTTGGAAGCAGAGGGGTGGGGGAAATGAGGGATGGGGGTGCAGAACCCTGGAAATGTGGTCAGGAGGAGAGAGACAGAGACAGAAAGGGGCAATTCCAGAGACACCGAATCAGCTGTCTGAGGTACATCTTTTGCGAGAACCGGGACCTGCCTGCCAATTTGCTGACCGACAAAACCCTTACTGTAATAGAACTTTGTCCTGCGCACCCCACCCCCTTCCTTTCCGTGACCTCAGCTGCCCCCGAGAAATCAGACAAAAAATAAAAATAAAAATAAAAGCCAGATGCCTAAGAACCTTCCTGGAAGNGGCAAATGTTCTTAATGTCAGCGAGGAGTAAAACATAATAAAAATGAATCCAGAGAGGTAAGAAATACGGGCAGGAAATAACAATGAGATTCAGTTTGGAAAATGGCAAAGTGATACGTTCGGGGAAAACGATCGCAAGCACTGCTGAGGAGTCAACAGGAGGCTAAGAGGCTGTCCCTGGGCAGGGACTACAGCGATGATGGCGGCGAATCAGATGTGCGCCTGCAACCGATATGGCAGCGCCGACAGTCCGTGTCATTTCCGTCCATGTGCAGACTGTCCTGGTGTCCCTGAGAAGGCAGGCGGTGTCATGTGCACTGTGCTGGGGAGACTGTGATGCAGATGACACAGTCCGCTTTGGGAGCCTCATTTCCAGAAAGATAGATTCAGACTGCAGGAGGGTGGCAAAAATGAGGAGGAAACGAGTGGCAGCCTTCGGAGGCATGACCGGCTCGCCGAGGAGGCTGAGCGGGCGCGGGCGCGGGCGCGGGTGCGGGCGCCCGTCAGAAGAAGGCGGGGTTGGTGTGCTCGATCACGCAGCGCTTGCAGTGGCGCTTCACGAAGCGCAGCGCCTCCACCGACACCTCGCAGTCCTGGACGTTGAGCAGCTGCAGGTCGAAGCAGTTGGCCGCCACGATCTGCAGGCCCTGGCCCGTGATGCTCTCGCAGGACTTGAGGCTGAGCCGCTTGAGGTTGAAGCAGTTCAGGGCCAGGCACTCCAGGCCCGTGTCGGAGACCAGGGGGCACTTGCCGATGTCCAGGGACTTGAGCTTGGCGCAGCTCTTGGCGAGGTACTCCACGCCGTGGTCCGTGATGCCCTCGCAGCCCCTCGCGTTGAGGTAGCGCAGCTTGCCGCAGTACTTGGCCACGTAGCGGAGGCCCACGTCGGTGACGCGGCCGCAGTGCGCGATGCTCAGGTACCGCAGGCGCGACTCCAGCTTGGCGATCTCGCGCAGGCCGAAGTCGCTGACGCAGCGGCAGTCGCTGACGCTCAGCTCCTTGATGGCCGCGCAGTAGATGACCAGGTAGCGCAGGCCCTCGTCCGTGAGGCGCACGCAGCGGCGCAGGTACAGGTGCGTGAGCTGCGTGCAGTGCGCCGCGATGGTGTGCAGGCCCTCGTCCTCCAGCACGAAGCAGTCCGTCATGTCCAGGTAGCGGATGGAGATCTGCTTGCCGTGCAAGGGCGACAGTTTAATGGAGGCCTCGCGGGTCAGGCTGATGCAGGTCACTTTGGAGCATCCTGCACGGAGAGACAGGGCACACGCTCAGAGCAGCCGCGGGGAGGGGGNGGGGAGGGGGGGGGGCCAGACTCCTGCCCTCCCCCGGCCCCGATCCCGCGTCACCCCTTCCCTGCTTGGCCCCGCAGAGAGGGAAAGCAAGAATGGGGTCTCTGTGCTCATTTTTTTTTTTTTTAAACTACGTTGATTATCTGGGTTTAAGGGGGTTGGAGGGCTTTAGAATCAGAAAGACCAGGGTTCTAATTCCAGATCCATCACCAGTTGCCAGACACTGGGCAAATCAAGCCTTCTGAGGATTTCCTTCTTCTTAAAATGGGGAGGATGGCCCCCCCTGACAGGTAGGTGGCTGTGAGGAGCAACGGGACAGGTCTTGCCTCCGTCCCTGAATGTTTGGGAAGCTCAGTAAAGCGCTTCCCTGCAGTGGTCTGGTAGCTCCCCAGGGTCCAAAGACGTGTGAGATGCGAGAAGGCTTGGCCCTGACTCGATCTGGCAGAAAGAGCTCCGACTGAGAGTCACACATGGTTCAGGTCTATTTTTTATGGCTGCAGGCAAGAGGCGTAACTCTTGTGTCTCAAGACTCTCCTTATAACATGGGAATGAACAGCTGGTATGCCTCCAATATGGGGAGACAGAGAGGACGCAACCAGAGAACAGACAGGGGCACACTCTGAAAACTCTGCGGGAAAGACATGCAGTTATTAGTCTAACAAGGTGGCCAGCTGGGGGCTCAATGCAACCCTCTTCGGTGAAGGAAGGATAATTGGTCATCTGGATTATTGTTCTAGCTCCTCAGCCCTCTCCCTGCCCTGCCTCACCCTCGACCTTCTAGTCTCCTCACAGCTGCCAGAGAGATTATAGAAAGGAGAACTGCAATCACGTCACCCTGCTCAGTGCCTCTGAATGGCATCCATCTCACTCCCAGTGTAAAATATACAGTCTCAGGGGGCCGCGAGGACTTGCACCCCCTGCACTCTGAGCGCGCCTCTTACCTCACTCCTACCCCACTGGCCTCCTTCGCAGACCCCTCACATGCCCTCCTGCCTCAGGCCTGTGCGCTGGACAGGGCTCCCCCAGATCTCCAGGAGCCCACTCCCACTGTCTTAGATCTCTGACAATTCTTCATGTGCTCTGGACAATTCTTCCCTAAGCACCCTGTATGAGCCAGTATCCCCTGCCTGGCTCCCATTCATTTCCAGTGCTCTCTGTCACTTTGTGGGATTATATATTTGTTTACTTTTCTATTTGAGGTCCCCGCTCTGGAACATCAGCTCCTGAGAAAAGGGACTCTGGGCTGTTCACTGCTGCATCCCTCACACCTGGTTCACAGCTGGTGCTCCCTTAAGTATCTGCAGGATGAATGAATGATGAATGAATGAGTGACTTATAGAGTGATTAAGTCTTCCATGGGAAGATCAGGTAGGATAATCCTATTTCCAACATTTAAATGTCCTCAAAACTCCGACCCTGGCTGATGTATATCTACATTGAAAAATAGTTGTCTACTTTATGATAATGCCTTTCATTTGTGTTGAATTTTGAAGTTTACAAAGTGTTTTTATAAACATTTTCTTACCTGATTTTTAAAACAATCCATTTTACAGATAAAGGAAATTAAGTTCAGGAAGACATCTTTAGATGCTACTCTAAACATTGTTTCTAACCCGTTTTCTGCCCAGGAACATGTGTGTGTATAAATTATATACATATTTACACTATGTATTATATAATTATTATATAGTTACATATACTATATGAAACACTCATTTCATTGCATAATTCAGTCCACTATATATTACCATGTAAAATGTGCACAGTATTACTTTAGTATGTAAATATAAATAAAGAATTGGTATGCACAGTCTGCATATTATATAAATAAATGCATATGCATACATAGTTCATTACACTTCACAGACTGCTCACTTTCTCTCTGCTCTACCCGAATCCCTCTGGCGGGTCTTAAGCCAGGTGCCTCACCTCGGGCACCTCTGTGCCTTGTGGTTCACGTACTATCCAAGGCTTCCAAGCAGCTGCACGATCGTGCTAACTGGGACTTTCCTCTCACCTCTTGGCAGGCTGCCCAGGAAACTCGTGTAAAATTCAGGTCCTGGGAATAACTGTGTTCAAAAGCCACGTGCTACCAAGTCAAAGAATTTCGGGAAGGAGTAAAGCATACCAGGCACACTGGAGAACAAAGATGCGACTCGTCAGAGGTGACCCGCGCTGCTCCAGTGGACTCCGCGGTTTTGCAGGAGGTGGTTGGTACTCCCTGAACTTTGGCTCTGAAATCTTCTTTTGTTTTGAGTTTCTTTTTCTAGGTTGACTGTAATTCTGCTTATACTGACTTTATATATCCACAGTAGTGGTTGCCCATCTCCTCGTTTTTCAAGAGTAAAAGATACTGTATTTGGTACAAGGAAATATATGCACTGTTTTTGAAAATTAGTTCCAAATTCAATGAAATACTAGTTTAGCTCAGTTTTGGTAAAGAAACTATTGCAATAGGCTTATATTATTTTAGATCAATAATTTTTAATTTTAACTTTAGCCTTAACTCTTACAGATTTGCTAAGTTTGGGTTGAAAAGAAACTGGTCCATGGCTCAGTAGGTAATATCTATGGCTAGTTCATGCACTGCAGACACATAGAGAACCTTAGAAATCATCCCATCTAACCTTCATTTTCTAAAGATGAGACATCTCAGGCTCAGTGAGATTGTTACTTGTACAGCCAGACTGGGACAAAGTTTCTCGACTCCTGATCCACTGCTGGTTCTCTTTCTCTGGAGAACCCTGACTAAGCATTTATATAAAGTAATATGTGATAATTTAAAAAAACATACAACACTACAGCTACTTATAGTTATTTTCAATGACTTGAAAAGATAGCTTTCAAGTTGGGCATTTTCTGCATTGCTGGGGATGGAAGAGGCAGTCTCATGTCCTCAGGGGGATGGGGGTTAAGTTCTAGACCAGCAATGAGTCTTCTACAGTCTAGTTTACTGCCTTTGAGAAGGTGGCCACTATCAGAGGCCAGCTGTAAGAACCAGGGAGAACAAGACAGATGACATCGCCTCTGGCAGCCCTCTGGCTGCTCCCTGTATCAATACAAGTCCCAGGTTCTCTCAGAAATGGAGGACACCTTTCAGAGGTGGTGATAACAAATTCATCCTTATGGCTTGTTGGATCTCTCAAGCACATCTACCTGAAAATCCCTCCTCCATATATGAAATTCTGTCCTCTTGGTGAGTTACAGATTCCCCTTGTTTTGGTCCCTATGTGCACATATCACAGGAGGGCTTTGGGAAACATTCGAGGGTTTATACAAATATATACAGACTGGCAAATTAGACTGGTATAGAGGAAGGGCGTTGAGACTTACATATAGAGGTTAGTCAAAGGGGCTATGCTAGAAGGCATTTCCATTCTCAAACAGCTGAAGTAGTTTTTGCATTGAATTTCAACAGGACTCCAAAAGAGAGGGCACAATGGCTTGCAGCCTGCATTGAAGTTGCATGGGGAGTCCCTTTAACAAAGATGGGGATTCCAAAAAATCATTTTCTAATCGGAGAAATGAAAAGGAAATGAGGTGTTTATAAAATAGGCCCACAATGCCCAGAATCTTAGGATGTTAGAGTCCAATCCCTTGCCTTTTTTTTTTTAACCGAAGGGGAAACACATCTAGAGAAAGCTGCGAATTGTCCCAAATCACAAGGTTTTGAAATTAGTTTCCACCACACCGCAATGCTTTCTCTCTCCAGAATTCCTTGGAGGGGAAAAAAAGTAAGAAAACCTCTTCGTTTCCTGCTTCATTATGCCATTGGCTGCTCACGACTGCACATACGGTTACTATGGTTTTGTACTGAAGCCAGCTGAAGAGGGGAGCAAAGAGCTGCTTGCCAGCAAGGGGAAGAATCTGCAAAAAATAATTGACTGTCTTCTGAAATATTTTCAGATGTCGGCTTTCGAAAGGGAGAGAGAGCTGAGAGAGCTGGCTTTTCCCTCAGGTTTTTTGGGAGGGTATCATTTACCTCAGAGGCTTGTAAATCCCAAATTCTGTTTATTTGCCGGTCACAGCGGTTTTTTACTTCTTGACCCCTCCCCAGCTACCCCTGGGGCTGGGGCTCATGCCGTTCATTTCTGTAACTCCCCGATGCATCTTACACATCTCAGCCTCTCCAATGTTCATCTTTTCACTGGGCAGCAGATGAGATAAAGAGGGGCTGTTCGTCTGGCCGGATCCACATCTGGCGCCAAAGGGTGAGTCTGGGTTTTAATTCTTCCTGCCTGAGAGAGGTTTCTGAGCAAAGCAGCCATGCTGGGATTTCCCTCAGCTTTTAAAAGAACTAAAGGCCCCACTCGATAGGCCTGACCTTTGCACTATGTAATTGAGTATTTTGCTTAAGAAAAGATACAAAATCAACCCAAGGTGAGGAGAGTTGGGGTGAAATATAAAGAGAGTCAGCCAGGATGGATTTTTCTCCAACGTCCGCAAAATGGCACATCCCTTGGCTCAGCTCCCTGGCTCTGTATAGAACAATAGCCCATGGACATAAGGGCGGTTTTAAAGTACCTGTGCCTGACTTAGATATCGGTTCCTGTTTACCTGTGAATAGGTACTTGGTTCCCATTATCTATGGTTGCTCTGAAATAACCGTGGGCGTTTTAGGGGGAAAAGGCATCGAAAAGTCGTGTTAACTTGGAAGTGCCAGACAAAAGATGCCTCTCGTTGCTCTAAGAAGTGGGCATTATTTTAATGGGAGAGAGATCGCTGACCTCCAGGGTCGCGATCACATAGAGACAGTTTCTCTGGAAGTCAACCCCTTCCCGTCCACCCCCATCGTTAGTGGTGGTCAAGAAGAGGCCCCTCCCCAGGTGGCAGTGCCCTCTACGGCTTTGGGATGGTGCCTCGGAAGGCCTCGGTGGTGGGAGGGCGAGCGCCCTTTACCTGACACGTCCAGGTGCTCCAGGTTGGGGCAGAGGGACACCACGTCGAACACAGCCTCGTTGGAGATATTGTAACAGCCCGAGACCTCCAGGCGCCGCAGCTCCGGGCAGCACTGGGCGATGGTGTAAAGGCCTCTGTCCGTGAGCCGCCGGCAGCCACTGACAGTCACGGTTTCCAGCATGAGACAGACGTTGGGCGTGTCCTGGCACAGCCTGCGGGTCAGCACCTTGAGGGCGCGGTCCACGTTGACCGTGTCGCCCGCCAGGCGGATAGTCCTCCAGAGCCGCGGGTCCCAGGCCAGGTTGTACCAGCGGCGGCACACGCGCGCGCAGCGGCACAGCTGGTTGGTGGGCAGGAAGGAGAAGATGCGCACCATGGAGTGGTCGGGCAGGCGCTCCACGCTCGCCTGCGCCTTCTGGGGCCGCGCGGCCAGGCGGATGAGCGGGTGCGTGAGGCGCGTGGGGGGCGGGGAGTGGACCATGGCCACCGTCTCGCCGGTGACCGACGACGACGAGGTGGACGAGCCCCTTCCATTCTGAAATCCCGGCAGGTTCGGGGGACATATCAAGGCTGGGCTGGGCGTGCTCAGTGTGCGCATACTCAGGTCGGAGTCTGGCAAAGGACAGAGAGCAAAGGGTTAATGACGGCGCGACGGGGGCCCCCCCGGAGGAGGCGGGTTGGGGTGACGCCACCGACACCCATCCCGGCCGACCCTGCCGAGTCCGTCACCCGAAGCTGAAGCGCGCGCGTCTCACCAGGTCCGCAGAGGGGCGCATCCTCCGCCCCGGGGACGCGCAAACTTTCCCGCGCGGGGCCAGGTAGGAAACGCTGGAGGCCCTGCAGGCCGCGTGGGCTCCGCCTCTGGGCAGCTGCTCAGCCCCGCTGTCGTGCAAAAAGCTGCCACAAACCACATGCAAACAAACAGGCGCGGTAGTCGCAATAAAACCTGTTGTATAAGAACAAACCAGCTGGCTGTGGCCCGCGGGCCGTGTTTGCAGACCTCTGATCTACGTGAGAGGTGACTCTCTAAGGGCCACGACTTCAAAGTTTCATTATTTCCATCCCGGGAGGAAACTTCCTATATTATGAACATGAACTGATTTAGTTTCCTAAATATATATTGGTTAGGCAGAAAAGATGCTTCATTGACAAAGGAGAATGGGTTTCAGAAAGGAAGTTGGGCCAGCGGGTGTAGGGTTTGCTGTCTTTGCCCTCACCTGTCTCCGAGTGTCCTCCCCTTCCTGTCTTTTGAGAGCTGGACCCCAAACTATGGGGTCTGAGCCTGGGGAGCACCCCTTCGTTTGTTAGACGTCAGATGGCACGCCCACGCCTTGAGTATCTGTGGCAATATTTATTTTTTTCCTTCTTAGTAACAACCCCTTCCCTTTGCATTAGAATAATGTGAGTGATATTTTGTTCCTTGGAACCAGATAACTTGATGAAGACACAGTGGTTTTTAAGTTTCTGAGGGGTCATGTTCTTCAGAATACTACTATAAGGAATCTGCTCATTTCATATTCCGCTACCTCAATATATATGCATGAGAAAGAATTTATTCTCTATAAATATATTTATATTATGTATTTTACATTATAGATGGATATATTCATCTAGGAAGACATTCATTCTCTCTAAATATGTTTATATATTTTATATATTTTGCATATATAAGAGAGACAGAAAGAGAGAGACAAAGAGAGAGTTTCTTTTCCTCCAAAACACAAATTTCCTCATCGGTGAAATAGGGAGTTGGACTAGATGATTTCTAAGTCATTTTCAGCTCCAATTATAGTTCTAAAGACTTAAAAACTCTATTGTTGTGTGCTTTTCCACATTTCATACCTTGGTGATTTTCAAACACTCTTTTTTTTTTCAAAGAACTTCCAGTAATAGCATACAACACAAAAATTCCAACACATCTTCACTGAGTGTCTATTTGTAGTTTTCATACCCATATACTTTTTGTACTTCAGTAATTTTTTTCTTTTAATTTACTGCTTTATAATCAACCCCGAAAATGTCCTTCAAATGCCCACAACTTTGCTTATGGAGTGTCTTTGAATTATTGTGTGCCCCTCCCCACCATCTGCCTCTTGAAATAAAAACACCTTTTGCGACTGAGCACCAGTGCCTCCTCCTCTAAGAACGTTTTCCTGGTGTCTTTGAGACATAATTAATTCTTTCCCCGTTTGTGAATTTATCTTTCCCTAATGAGCTTGATTGTATTATTTTTCTCAATTTTGCACTGTTCCTGTATCCTCACATTCTTTGTCCTGTGGCTTTGCAGTTCTTCCCAGAAAGAGCATGTTTCTTTGGTCTAGTGATGCTGGGGTTGGCCATGTGACTTGCTTTGGCCAGTGAATTGTAGGGATTATGATGTCCCCAAAGTCACTGGTGTGGTTGCATGTGCCTGGCTAGTCCACTGATCTTAGGATGAGGGGAAACTGATGGAGCAGACAGAACTGGCCCGACCTGCTGCTGAGAGTCAAGCTCAACCAAGCCCAGCTGGGGCAGCCAATGTCCAATTGAAGCCACAGATGCGTGAGCTAAAATACTGAGTTGGGAGTGCTTTGTTATGCAGCATTGCTGCCTTCTATTTCATTAAAAACGCCTTTGAAATAAGCATTGAATACTTTTTTTATGTGTGCCCTGGTGGTATCTGACAGAGCTTATGGTGCACAGTAGGTGCACATACATGTCTTGAATTGAATGCAAATACTTAGATGTTTAAAAATTAACAATTTCTAGCTTGGCATGTAATTTTCTATTCCAGGTGGTATACATACTGCATTTTAAATCATTCGTAAGAAAAGAAATATGTACTTCTCACTTTTGTAATCAGCTAAAATGAATAGTAAATCTTTCAGGAAAATATTAAATGTAAATCAATTAGGCATTTCAAAACTGCCATCCAAGTTATCACGATCCTAACTGCCATCATTACATGAACTCCAAGAACTGCCCCTGAAGTTGGGTTTTTCTTAGGCGAGGATAACTTATTTTGGGCCAGGAGGGAAAGATAATCTTGGGCTTTAAGCTCTGACATTTGAGCAGCTGTGAGGGGCTCTGAAATCTCCCTCCCGCTTGCTTAAACTCTATTCATCTTGAAAGGGAAGACACTTAACAGTGCTCCAAGGGGACCAGTATAGCTTGAGTTAGGCCCTGAGGGAGGAACTATACTTATGGAGTGGGTGGAGGTGGATGCCTAGAGCCTGCATCTTTAAAGGATTCACTTTTCTTCACTCTTTTATACTCTAGGCCCTGAGGGAGTGCATCCTGAGTGCTGAGCATTTAGTAATGCTTTCTGTTTTCCTTTCTTTTCTTTGTCAATAATCATAGCTGAGTGGTAAGGGAACTCACACTCAGGGAGCACTGGCAGCCTCACACATCTGTGAGGAAATTCTGCCCTTGGGAGGATTCAGGAGCATGTACCAGCTCTCCTGCTCTCCGGTCCAGAGTATAGCAGCAGGACTCTCCGAAGTCATTCCTGGTTGCTGTGTACTGCTCACCAAAGTGGAGAGACAACTGTGGAGTCAGGAGATTTTGGCCAGGAAAGCTGGATGTCTCTTCCCCGAGCACTCACCAAGACTCTCCAGTTCCTTCCTACTTGTTCTTTAGCAGGTCACTAACCCTCAGAGAATTTTTGAAAGGATATAGTTGGTCATCACTGAATAAGTAGCACCTGATAATAAATATTAATAAAGAGTGATGAGTAATGCAATGATCTGAATGTTTGTATCCCCCTCAAATTGTTAGGTTGAAATCCTAACCCCATGGTGATGTTGTTAGGAGGTGGGGCTTCAGGGAGGTAATTAGGTCATGAGGTGGGGCCCTCATGAATGAGATTAGCGCCCTGGTAAAAGAGCCCCCAGAGAGCCCCCTCACGCTCCTGCGCAAAGACAGCAGACTCTGAGGGAGCAAGTGGCACCAGACATCAAAGCTGCCAGGGCTTTGATATTGGATTTCCAAGCCACCAGAACTGTGAGAAATAAATGTCTGTTGTTTATAAGCCACCAAGTCTGTGGTATTTTGCAATATCAGCCCAAATGGACGAAGGCACGTAACAACTAGAGATATGTGTATCTGAAAGTTGTCACAAAATACCTCTTCTTGATATTTTACCCAAATATATCACATATATATATATAATTTAATGTATCTAATACACACACATATGTACATAAAACATACATATATTTACCCCAAATGCACACACACACATTTTAAATCAGAAATAAATGCTATTATGAGTAAAATATGCATGTCTTGCCACACAATCTTTCCTGTCCTTTGACACTAGGAGCCATTTATTGCCACTGGGTATGATTTATAAAAACAGAAGTTTTTCATATAAAACTGCTAAGAATCCCAGAATATAACTGTCTATATACAAATAGAGCAAGGCTTCAAATTTAAAACAAGGCTCACGTCCACCTCCCGAGTTGTATAATTCGTTGGCATAGGGGACTACAGACAGATCTAGAGCACTCTTTTGTACATAGATTTTTTTCTCCTATGCCCCTCTCGAGGCAATAGCTGCTAATTTTTTTGACAGAGCTTAGAAACAAGGTTCCCTGATACCTGGCTACACACTCAGAGAGGAGAGAATCAAAGACAAATATTATGATGGTAGACTTAGAAAAAAAGCTGGACCCTCCTGCTGGCTTTATGACACTGTAATATAAACAGAAGCAGAAAGGAAGAATATGGATTTAGAATATGGCTTTGGAGTATTTTGTAGGCATGAACTTATTTTCATATCTGAATACCTATTCCAAGAGAATTCCTACCTATCTGATGTCTTGAGGGCAAAATCAGCCTGTATCACTAACGTGAGACCTTTGGGTTAAAACATAATTTGACAATAATTCTGAGAGGATATTATTGCTATTTTTAATACACTGTATACATTCATATACATTTATATAAAACTAAGCCGTTATTTTACATCTTTCTTAACCTTCCGCTAGGCAAATCGTGAATGAAGGACAGTATATGGAAGGTCTCCACACTACCAGACATTTTGAGCAAGGAAAATAACAGAATTGCAAAATGTACCAAATGAAACATACATTTCCAAAAGCTTCTATCAAGGATCAAATTCATTGTTGCCCACATCAAATGTCTTGAAATTTTGAGAAATCCTTTTGATAACTGGAGGTGGGGATCATGATGAAATGGCACATAGTAGTTGGTTTAACAGCCTTCCTTGCCTGCTGCCTCTCTGGTATCCACATCGTCATAAGGGGCAGGTATCACTCACAAAGCATTCTTGGCAAGAAACATTGCAATGAGCTGTAGACAAAATACTCTCAATCCTTTATTTGAAAATAAGATGTCCCTTGAAATGTCAGGAAAAGAAATGCCCAAACTCTTAGGAGAGGAATACACCTTCATAAAATATGAAATATTTCCAGAATGTAAAAGGCAACAGGCTTTTTTATATACCAAGACCACTGTTTTCCCTGCAGACATTCTTTGAGCAAACGTTTGTTTTCAAGAATAAGTATATGAATCGATAATGTAATCTTTTAAAGGTAGGCTCTACAAATTATTTTGTGGTAGGATAGATGGGTGCATGGAGGGATGGACAGAGAGAGACAAAGCTATTA